AAAAAATTTAATTACACTTATTAAATGTATGAAATATAATATGAATTTTAATTTTATTAAATTTATTATATGATTATTATTAAATATTTTAATATTAAAAAATATCAAGACATTCTTTGACTTTTTTCTTTTTCTTTTGAAATTTAAAGATAAATTTAATTTAAAAATAAATGTTGAGAAACGAAATCAGGTTTTTAACATACCTATTATGATGGGAAACGCTAAGTGAGAATGACCTCCATTGGCAGCAGGCGTGACACCTGTCCTTCTTTTACTTATATTCTCTAAAGCCCAAATGAGTGGGTGGAAATGGCCTAACGCAGGTTGAGTTAAAAATGGATCACGTACGAGTTAGCAAGGTAGTTGTACCCAACCCTACACGAACATGGTCAACTCGTGGGTCTACCCAATTTGTTTTACAGTTGATTTTTGAATTCAATTTACATTTAGTTTATATTATAAAATATTAATTAATATGTTGTAAAGTGTGATAGAGTATTTTTTTTTAATTTTATAATTAATATTTTATTATAAATACAATTTATATCACAAAATAATCATGTCTTTTTTTTTAAATCTTTTGAAACAAAGTAACAAATTAATTGGTATTGATAAAAATTTTTCTTAAATTCTTAAATTTATTTTAAAATAATATTTAAACTCTTAAATTAAAAATAAAATAAATAAATCTTTTAATTTCACTGATAATATAAATAAATTTTTTTTATTTATAGATGTTTATGCTTTCAATATGATATTAAACATGATATTTATAAAAAAAAATTATTTATATCACCAATAAAACTAGAAGATTTATCTATTTTTAATTTAAATGGTTAAATACTATTTTCAATAAATTTGAGTTTTTGCCAATTGTATTTTCATTGTAGGTTATAAAAAAACTCTATTCTCATTACAAAACAAAACAACGTAACCCACACTTTAATGGGAAAAAAGATCATGATAAATCGAGGTCAAATGAGGATTGTACCTCCGCTGAACGATGACTTGTATCGCCGCTGATGGTCATAACTAAAGGTAGCTTGAAATTCAAGGTTTTTAAAACCGGATTGAATTGGTCGGTCGAATTAGTCGGACCAATACCCAATAATGAAAATGGTTTGGTTTATATAAAAAAACCGTTTGATATCAAAATTGGTCAAAATTGGTGGAACCGATAGAACCGGTGGAACCAATGGAACGATAGAACCAAAAAAACCACTGGTTCAATTTCTCATGCAATCTTCTGTCTGTTTTTTCCAATTTCACCCCCACCATCCCTTTCTTATACCGATTTTAACCCTTGTTTTTAACAAAATTACAAAATCATCATCCCCCAAATTAGAAAACCCTCGAGGTGGACGACTCCTCCGGTCCTCCCAAGTCCCAACCGAAGTTCTCTGCCTCTCTAGTCTCTACCCTCACCTACACCGCCGGCGCTCCCCTCCCCCTCTGCTGTGTACGATCGTCGACGTTGCTCTGTTGCTCTCTGCTTTCTTCAGCTGTTGATCTGTAGCCCTCACCGAACTTGCTCTCTGCCTTCTGCTAATGCACTCTCGCCGGAGCTGCTCTCTGCTCTCACCGAACCGAAGCTGCTATCTGCCTTCTGCTGATCTGCTTTCTGCTCTCTGCCTTCTGGTGATTTGCTCTCACCGGAGCTGCTCTGCTTTATGCTGATCTACTCTCACAGGAGCTGCTCTCTGCGTCTGCTGTGCTGTCTGCGGATCTGCTCTCATCGGAAGTTCGGAACTGCTTTCTGCTGATACTTTCTTTCACTTCAGTTCATCGACCCTGCTTTCTGCTGTTTTGCTCCACTGGCACTTGTCTCTGCTCTCACCGGCGCTTGTCTCTGCTCTCACCGACGCCGGTCACCTTCCGTGTGCCTTCTGTTCTGCAATTGGCCTGCACTGCTTCTTCACAGCTCACACTTCACATTCACAGCTTCTCCCACCCGAGCACAGGTATATCTTGGTTTCATAAATTGATGAGAAAAAATTGAATTAAATTTATAACTTTTTAGAATTAGAAATTGTTAATTATTTTCCAATTTTAGAATTAGAAATAGAGTTG